TCATCCGTGGGAATTGAACCTTAGACCTGCCACTTGGGGGTTGACAACCTATCCACTTCACTAGGTCGCCACACCCCTACTTGTAAATGCTTATAGAAATAACTGTAAAATGTTGACTTAATATATTAAGTTTAAAAATATTTATATAAAAATATGATTTCTTAATAAGGAGCAATTGGCAAAACTGCCAAAGTTAAGAAAACAAAAAATATATAAATATTTTTTTAAATTTTCTTTCTAATAAATTTTAAACTTAGATTCTATTATTTAAAAAAATGATAACTTATTCACTTTATTAAATTATCATACTTTATTATAAAGTTTTATTAAAATAATATGAATTATAAATTTTATTTCAATATATTATAATTATTTATTAATTAAATTATAAAATCAAATAAAAAAAATCAATTAACTTGTATTTGTCTAACTTTTATTAATACAAAATAAATTAATTAGAAAAATAAAATGTAGCAATCTAGTAAAGTAGATAGATTGTTAACCCCAAGTGGTAGATCTAAGGTTCAATTCCTACAAACAACAAATATCAAAAATTATACTTGTGTTATGATAACTGTCTCTTGTCAATTAGTTGAATTTAGGTATTTATAATCTTAGATACATTAAGTCAGATTTTACCTAACATAGAAAGCTTGAAATATCTATATAAAATATAATGTTATATATATATAGAGAAATATAAAAAACCAGTATTACATAAGGCTTTAGTACAAACCTATAATAAAACCATCAGGTGTAGAAGACTAAGAAACTAAGAAGATAAAAACCTACTTGAAAATCCTAAGTAAAGAGGTAACACAAACTTTCAATAATGCTGTTGGACTAATAAGAGCTTTTGAAACATCTTTATAAAGATTGTTAAATAAATTGGATAACAAAATATGTAAAAAAGTATATGACCAATCAGACTACTAGAATCATCAGAGAAAAAGGATATATAAGTATATATATCATATCAGGTTATTTGAATTAAAAGTCTAGAGAGTCTATTAGTTCTAAGCTGTGATCAATAAAGAATAATGAAAAAGATATTAGAAAAATAAGTATCAGGATTTGAGTGAACTTTACAAAGATAAAAGCAGTTTAATAGATAATCCTAACTGCAAGTATTGGTCTTAGCCATAGTAATAAACCAGATTAGTAATAAAAAGAAAATATAGCTCACTCTGATAGGTTTATCTTTAAAAATAAAAATAGTCTAGAAATTATAATCCTAAAGTTAAGATAAGAATCTAGGTCAAATAACCTGGTAAAGTTGGTACTAGATTGCAAATTATAAAATTTAAATAAAACATCTAAATAGAAGTATTAGATATAATAACTAGTAGGAAACCTCCAAACAGATTTTTTAAATAGATAATATAAAAAGTTATATATATAACTAGTTGTATGCTTTTCTGTAATAGTTTAATATAAATATAAATCTATATTAACATGTACCTGATACAGAGTATTAATAAAATCAAAAGACCAAAAAGGTCATATTAACAACAAAAAAAAATAATTAGAAAAATAAAATAATAGATTTGGGTTCTATGAATTAGTAGGTAAACTTTCAAACTTTTTACAGATAAGTTTAATAGTTTAAATCAATTTGAAGATAATTTTATCTTTATAACTTATTGAAATTATTAATCAAATACAAAATTTTATAAAAAAATTTAATCACAAATATAAATTTGAATAAAAAAAAAGTCTAAAAGAAGACTTAATTGTAAAATATAAATATTATGCATAATAATAGTTTTATAAAAAGTTATATTTATAAAAGAATTGTATATATAAGATCTTAAAACTAAAGTAGCACTAATAAATATTCTTTTACTTTTTAATATAAGTAGTATTAATATTTTTACACCTAACTTGTGAGATATTTATTTGAAAAAATAGTCAAAAGATTGTAAGAATAAGTTTAATTAAAATCTAAGAAGAAGATTTAATTAAAAGAATAATCTGAAAATAACTAAAACAAAAATAATAAAAAAAATAATAAATATAAGAAGTCTGTAATAAAAAATTAATTTGACCAAAATTAAAAACACCTCTAGTATAGCTAAATAATCTAACTATAAAAAATAATCTTAAGACTAATATATAATTATTTGTATAAAAAAAATATTAAATCAAATTCTAGTTATACTTATATGAAAGTTTATAATAAACAAGACTAAGATCAACTAATTAATATAAAATATAATCTACAAAATAATATAGTATTACTAAAATTAGTATAACTTTTTAAATATAACTAGAATTGTTTTACAGATATTATTGAATAAGCTAAAATTTGTAATATATAGTAATATGATATTACTAAAGTTGAAAAAAATTTTTAAATATAACAAATTTCAATTCTTATTATAAAAAAAAACATCTAAAAAAAAAATTAAAAAAAAAATAAAAAGAAACATCTTGTTAAAAATTAATTGCAATATCAAGTTATTGTATAATGCTAAGATCCGAAACATCTGCAAAAATAATAATAGCAAATCTGACTTAAAATATAAATTAATCAAAAAACTTATAATAACAATAAGTCTAATTTGAAATATAAGTTCATTATAAATTCTGAATTATTATTAAAATATTTTAAAAAAATTAATAACAAACATATTAAAGATAAAAGATTATAAAAATTAGATATACCTAAGTAAGATCAATTTGAAAATGATAAAAATAAAAAATGCAAGAAATAAGATATTACTAAATATAGTTAAATTAAAAAATAGAAGAAATAAGATCAAATAATAAAACACATAAATACAATTACAAAAAAAACAGTATTTTTAATATCAGAATATTATATTAAGTTTGAAAATATTCTTGTTCGTATAATAGTTTAATGATATGCTTTGACCACAAGTAATTGCCAAGATAACTGCATGCAGACATGTAACAAATACAAACTTAAGTATTATATAGGTAACCAAATAAAATCAGTAATATAAAATTAAAATAATAAATATAGTACTAGTAATAATTAATTATGTAAATATAATTATAAATTGTACTATATCAAATTTAGAACCTAATAAACCAACTGGCAATATCACCAAAGTTCAAAAAAAAAAATAAAATAACAAAACAAATTAATATAATATATGAATAATTATTAATATATATATTATAAAAATCATCTGCTATGTATATGTATTACTTGCTTCAGGATTTTTTACAATTATTTTACAATCTATTAGTTAAAATCAAATGTATTTTATATTATTTAATATATTTTAAGATAAATTAAGTAATGTAAAAATTATTAGATTTTAGTTAATAAACTAAGATTTAACTTCAATATGTAACTTTCATACATAATTACTAACAACCAAATCTAGGTGAGCCTTGGTCACTCCTGTTGGTTTAGGTCACAGATAAACTAGTCTGAGCTTCTACTCTTTTTATAATATTTTTAATAGTAAATTTATACTTTATGTAAAAATTTCAAATAAATATTCAATAAAGATAGAGGCATGGCCTCACCATTAATATTAAAAAAAAAAAAAAACTTCAATATGTAATCCATTACATTACCTACCTCTACCAAAATACCTTCTTCTACCTTATATATAATTAAAATTTTATAGAACCTTAATAAAAAATTTTTAATTGTTTTTTATAATTCAAATAAAGTTTATTAAATTTTGCTAGAAATTTAAAAAGTTAATCTTTAGTATAGGTGATTATTATACAATTATAATAAATATAAATTAACTTTTTTGAACTAATTAAGTAATTTTATAAATTATTAGAGCCAGAGTTAGGGTTAAAACTTAAATAAACGCAAATTAGATAAGTATTATATATTATAATCTTGTAATAATTTATATATTACCCACATATACTAAAGAAGATTCATAAACTTTTTTATTTGCACTGCCACATATAATGTCTACTCTCCATAACAGGATCTCTTAGAGAATCTCGTTTTTAGCCTGTCTGTTGATTCTACAATTAAAATAAATTCAAATATAACAGATAGCTATATAATCAAATTTTAAACGCGGCTTATATTTAAGACATTTAAAATTTTACCAAGGATGCCAACACCAAAATAACAAATTTAATGAAAAGTTCATTGAATTTTGCCGAATAGTTCAAACATCTTTGATCAAAGCTTAAATTGTAAAAAAAAACAACAATTAATGATCTACATTAACGTGTGTGAAAATACCTAATAAATTTCTTTGGAATTGTTTTTTTTAAAAGAATATCTTTTTAAATTTATTAAATAAAGTTTTATTATATTCATATATGTTAATTAATGCTACATAGTTACAATTAAAAATGAAGAGCTTATTAGGCTTGGACAGATTCAGAAGATTTATCATCTAACAATTGCAATTTAAATCACCACATTAGTAGCATTTCCGTTGCATATCCTTGAGATCAAAAATGTGAGCGTATATATTTCGGCCTTAGACAACAATTTGATTCTTACTGGCACGCTTTTAGCTGTTGAAGTTGGATACGATGTCATGGTAGTTGACGATGTAGGAGCAGCCGAAACATGAATCTAAATAAATAAATGTTAAATGCGATACAATGATGGTAATGCATAAAATACTCTAGATTACCTACCGTCGTATAACCTTTCACATCATCCGAACTTTCTACATCTCGCTTTTGATTCAACATATTGTGAACTTCAGCCAACTTTTCAGTAGCATCTTTTACATTTCCAGTATGCATATTAAATGCTACATATAACAGCAAATAGTGTAAATGGAGACGATAGTTGGATATTGGAAAAATGTGATAAGTTTGTGGAGGACGAGATGATGGCGGCGGGAAATATATAGTTGAAAGTTCAGCAAGTGAATGCTGAGTTATTGAATAGTTTTGATTTGTAAAAGCGTATTGAACAATTGATATTAAAAGGCACGCCTAAAAAATAGATTTAAATTGTAATGTACTGATTTTTCGCGTAATATATAAACAATTTGCAATTAATCCTACCATAATCTGATTATACCTTCATTTCAATATCGCCTCTTTGGTCAGCCATTGATTCTGCTTGTTTCAAGGTTGATAAACATCCATTAAAATCACCCTCAGCGTTATAAAGTTCTGCATGCCGTAATAGAAAGTGATATGTCCAATCAGGCATATTGCATCTATAAGGCGACAAAGCAAATATTTTTAAATAAAGCAAAAAATATAATTAAAAAAATTCTAAATTTTAGAAACATTTGAACAATAACTATGAGCAGAAATTCACCCACTCCATTGCTTCCATAACACCGGATTTCATGATATTACGTGCCGCTTTAATATTATTAGCACTTTTGAAAATATTACATTGAAGATCAATCATTCTAAATTTTAGTTCAGCCACAGCGTCTAGCTATTAACAAAAAAAAATTTAATAATGTGATCAGTAACGACACAACCAGGAAATTGAACTTTTAATATAATAAAATCATTCAACTTATAAGTCCAATCAATTCAATTGCCCAATACTAACACAAAGGTATTATAGATTTAAAAAATTCGCTACAAAAAACTATATTCAACAATTACCTTCTGTGATATCATTATCTGAAATAATAGATAACGGAAAGCATTAAATAACGCCATTATATATTAAATCAATCAAGAATTCATACATACAGCTTTCTGCAAATGACTTTCTGCTTCTCGAACGTTTTCGGTAAACCAGAAAAGAATTTGACTCAACCTGAACCGCGTCTTTAGCTCAACTAAAGGCATGTATGTGCACCCATTGGCAACGCTTATAATCACAGCCTCCAGGCACTTGATCGCAGCTAAAATATGTTTCTGTTGCTCCGAAGATAACTTTTGCTGATTAACTGTGGATGTGGAAGATAATTCTGTGGTTTTTGCTTTAGATAAATAATGTTCCGCAAAGTACCATAAAAGTTTGTGTGGTGATAGCTGCGATTCTTGCTGCTGTGGATACTGTGATATCAATTGTTGCTCCTGCAAATCTTGTCGCTCACGGGCTTGAGGAAGAATTTGAGTAGGAAACATGGTCACTTCAGTTGGGATTTGTTGTTGAGGCATTTGTAGTTGATGTAATGGCTGTCGTAAAATCTGATGTTGAGGAGTTATATAGTCATATGAAGTTTGTTGCATATTGGCGGTTATTGAATTATTTGGGTATGCGTAAGTAACGTCAGTGTAAGTTGTAGGTCCGTCATAAGATGTCGGTGTATAATCCATATACTCGTAGTTAGTTTGGGACTCTGAAAGATATTGAGGTTGTTGGTATGAATGCTGTTGTTGGTGAAAGGATTGTTGCTGCTGTTGATAATACTGTGCTGGTTGTTGCTGTTGATAGTTCCATTGCTGCTGCTGGGTAGACCATTGTTCATATTGAGCAGGAAAACGAGACATTCTAATTTGTTATAGAACTGAATTATGCCAAGATGAAAGCGAAAGGATTCTAGAAAACGTAAATGTATGCATATGACTAATATGGTAGAAACGAAAGCAGAGCCATTCATTTGAGTCACGTTACTAAATGACTAATCATGACACGTGAAATATTTTATAGCGATAATGATTTTGATCCTTTATTTACAAAATTAGAAGAAATGCAGTATAAATATCATAAAAGCTTCAAAAATATTCTTTTACTGATTTCTTAATTATTTAACGCTCATTTGAGAGAGAGATTAATTACGATGTGCGCTGACGTTTAGGTGAAGAATCTTTGTCCGAATTTTCAGATTGCAAAATTTCCACTACTGTAATTCGCTTCTGACGGTTTGACTTTCTGATATTCTGCACATACATAAATTAGCAAACAAATAATCATAACTCCTTCAACAATAGAAAGAATAAACTGTATTACCAAATTTGTATAATAACTGTCATTCCTCGACGCATTTTGAATTAAAATCTGCACGCTCGGCACAATTGCAGTAGTTCTACCACCGACATATTCAAACAGAATCTTTTCTCCATCTGGCATAAATGCACCTGCTTTATTTCCTTTACCCCATCTATAATGAAACAACCAAGAAGAAGGAAACAAACTAGAATCTGCGTTAGCCTCTACAGCAGTTTGACAAACATATATCAAGTTATCGTATAATGCCATAATCTGTTCATCGCTTAATGTATTTGTATATTGTGCCGGATGTATACGCGATTGATAAAGTGTTTCGTCTGCTATCCAATTTCCAACGCCAGCCGAGAACGATTGATTTAATAATAGAGCCTTGATAGGGCAATGACGCATCAAAATTTTTTCCCTAAACGTTTGTCTATTTGGCATGCTTTGTAAAGGATCAAATCCGAGTTTTGATATTGGAGGATCTTGTAAAGGTGAATTGACAAGACGTACTCTTGCCAATCTTCGTTTGTCTGTGAATGCCATTACTACGTTTTGCGAAGATGAATTTGACAATTCCACAAGAGTGATGGTGAATTTCCAGAAGCGAGGTGGCCAATCTTTTGGATCATCCTTAGATGGTCTACGATATTGAAATATCTCTTGATCTTTGAACTTTATATGTGTAGGAATTAGAAAAGAAATTATTAATGACGCGTTTTTATAAGTCGTAAAAATACATGACTAACATAGAATATGTACACGAATATCCCCAGTCATTCCAAAATGCATAACAACGTGCGGACCTTCATTGAATACTATAAAACAACCAAATATTGTGATAGACAAACAAATGAATCATATACTACACGTAATCACGCGAAACCTAAAAAAGGTCTTACAAAAATAAAAGTATTTTCCCCGTCGTCCCGTATCTACTACAACTTTATTCAGTAGCCCTTTTTCAAATTCTTTTTTTGTTATATCACAAAAAACAAGATTGTCTTCTTGCTGTTAAAGAGCAAAGTAAATATATTTCTTACATATGGTAAGTAAAAAGTCTGTCAGACAATAATATACTGAACATACCGATCCAACATGAACGATTTTTTTTCCAACTAAGTTAGCATTACACGCTCTTTCGGCACGATGAACTTCGGGAAGTTCGGGCATTGTAAGACTACAAGGTGAACTTTGAATTCGTGATTTAACATACCCGATAAAGATACAATTTAATTATATCACATGCGTAGCTCAATATTTTTTAATCACGTGACAAACATATCAGATATTGCTAAAATCTTTGATTTTTATAATTATGTTCAGATTAATTGAATATAACAATCCATTACACACTAATAATGTTAATAATTTTCCAGAAATAATAATTAATGAAGTTGTTCTAAAGGCCATTGATTAAATTGTAGGTTCATAATATGTACTTTTGATATGACAGAATCTAAATGATTTCCTGAAGAGAATACAAGATAATCCTTACTAGTAACTTTCAACATCCAACACAAAATTAAAAAACAGTGACAAAAATATTTTAAAGCTTTTGTTTTTTTCTTTATTATTATTATTTATTAAATCTACAATATAATGAAATCAACATTAATTAGTATTTATCAACATTTACAATCATAAAATAAACTTAATTACCTCGTCGATGTCGAATTCGAAATTACATTCTTCATCTTCTGGACCAAATGTATCAGTTTCGTTGATTTTAGCTACAGATAAGGAGCAATCAGAGAATCAATAAGTATAATGTAAACTACATTGCTATGTAAACCCATATTAATATTAATATTATTAACGTTACCATTTTCTGGTAATTCACCATAAGCTTTCAAATTTCTTGCTTCTTCAGTTGTATATTTTAGAATAACATCGGCTTTGGCATCTTGGTAATCGCGGAGAGAAATCAAGATGATATCACCTTGATTGATCCACACCTTTAAAATGAATCAAATAGATTATAAACATGTATCAATTCAATTTCAGGTATTAATGCAAAGATAATAAAGCATAGCTATTCACCTTTTTCCGTAGCTTACCACGAATATGTGCTAACCTTTTCTCACCGTCAAAGCATTGAGCTTCTAAACGACCGTTTCCAAGCATTTTTACTACTTGTGCATATTCTATAAATTGAAAGTAAAAAAAAATAAAAATGAGAAAAAAGTAATTTGGAAAACGCCATAGTATTAGCGACCTAGTTTTTACCTTGCCCATCCTCTTTGAAGATCAGTTCTCTTTTCTCGGATTCGTTTTCATTCTTGCCTCTTCGTCTGTTTTTACCTCCCTAAAAATTTGATCAGTGTTAATTTGATCTTTTATGTGTATAATTCAAAAAAAAAAAAAAAAAAAAAAGATTTTTACTTTTCCTTTGTTTTTAGGCATATTGAAAGCGAAATTAGTTTAACTTTCAAGACTTTGGTAAACAGTGAATCGTTAAATATCAGGAATACCCCAATAAAAAAAAAAAAAACGATTTTTTTCAGCTGTGCCCTGTGTCACTTAATTCGGAGTCTACTCGGAATAGAGCAAGTATTGTTCAGATGAGACTTTTTATAAATGTTGAAGTAATTGTCGCATGCTGACTAGCCAATAAAATCAAGGTAACCGTTTAACCGACATAATTCGCGGTTAATCGTTTTAACCGTTATCATTATTTCATAAATTCTGGGACACTTGTCGGCCGATCTGGATAATCACATAACGATAATAGATTCAATAAAAAATTGTACGCACCTTTACGTTATTACAAAAGTTTTGGCATTGCTATACTTTATGCGCAGCTCTATGAAAGTTTTGGACAAAAATTACAAAGTTAGAAACTTGTAAAAATTAATAATTTTCTACTCTATATATAAAGACATGTTATACAATATTGTTAATGCCGACATTATTCCTAATATAAAACACCTTATTACTAAATAAAGTCTGAATTAGGTAACACAAGTCCTGTAAGGGAGTAGGCTCTCACGTCAGCTTAACGTTAAGCTGACTCATTTTTTTTAGTAAGGTAGCGAAGAAGAATCTTGCGAGCATCATTAATATCCCTATCGAGTTCTGTTTTACATTTAGGACAACAAAATACTTTAGATTCATCTAGCTTGCGATAGATGTAACCACAGAATTCACAAGTTTTACTTATATATTCTTCTGTACAAATAATTATTCGACACCATGGATGTTCACGTGTTTTATGGGCCAGATGTTGTTGAAAACGAAAATGTGACCACGTACACATGGCTCGAGCTGTCTTAGAACCAATACGTCATTGCCCACGTCTGATCATTCTTGAGTATGAAATTCTGGTAATATTATTATATAATAATGTTCGCAAAGTCATTTAGTCAATTTACAATGACATTCATGAACTAGACAGTGGATCCTCTTGTGAATATGCAATATAACACACCGTAGTCTATAATTAAAATAATCAGTCAAATTATAATCTATAAATCTATTATTAAAAACTAACTTGTAACATTTGTGTTTGTTCCCTTTTCCATGAATCATATCTCATTTACTTTGAAGTCTGTCATATATATAACAAAGTTGATAAATCTGACTAATATTATTTTTTCTTTATTCAATAGTCATTCCACTTGGATTATAATCAGTCATAAAAGTATTTACACCTGAATTTAGTATAATCACTCCTGATCCACTTTTTTTTCTTTTTTTAATGTTAAAAGTAAGTTCTTGCAATTTAGGTTTTTATTGATAGTATGTTTCACTTTGTGATTGTATTACAATAGTCACAGAGAGTAACCATGGGAAAAGTGTAAAACTAGTCACTCATATAACTTTAATTATTGTCTAATTTAAGTAATCCATCCAAAGGTTCTATATTAGTTACTATATCTAGAACTTACTTGTAAGTTCTTTATTTAAACATTTTGGTTTTTATATTTACTTTACTACTGTTCCAGTTTTTATTAATTTAAATATATCATGATTGTTAGATCTTTAAAGCAGTTCACTTATATGAAGAACTTTTAATCTTGTATTAAACTTAATGGAGTTTTCTGTTACTCAATTTCTAGTTAATTCAGTATTACTATAGTTAAAATTAGCATTTACAATTAGAATAACCTTTAAACTGCTATATTCTTGTAGAGTTTATATAATCTCAGTATTTTTTTTTATAACCTCATCAATATCTTGTATGTTTTTTATAAGTTTTTCTATATTACCAATCTAAGTAGGTTTGCATAATATAATTTTATGTTTAGTTTAACTGGTAATCAGATTAGTAAATCTTTTTAACTAGAATTCTTATTTGTACAGATTACTTATTTTAGATTTCTTTCTCTAAATCAAGATTTTTATAGATAGTACTATTAAAGATCATATATATTATCTTTTTATTTAAGATTTTTAAACAAAGTTTCTTATAGAATATATACTTTCTAAATTTATTTGTATAATATTGTACATTTTTAAAGTTAGTATTAGTATAATTAGAATTAATTCATATTTTTTTTAATAATAGTTAATCTATATAAATAATTTAAAAAAATAAAAAATTTAAATTTATATCTTTTTTTAATTTTTTGAAAATAAAGAATCTTGATTCTCAGATTATATTTTAAGTGATTTAGATAAAATTTATTAAGATGTTTTATAACAAAATAATTATTATATTCAAGTTGTCTTAAAAGAGATTTGGTTAAGTTTATTTTATAAAAAAATAAGAACTTATTATAAGATTTACTCTAATGTTTAAAAAGTATTGTAATTGATTATTATAATTTTTTTTAAAATAAAATTTTATTTTAAAATTTTTATAATTTATAACAAAATTAGATACATATCCTTTAAGTAAATTATTTATTACTTCATCTCATATATTATAAGTTATAAGTTCTTTTTTTTTTGTTTGATATCTTCTTTTTTAATCACAATATAATATCAATTATATGTTTATTAAACTATTCTTATTTTTGTCTGAGTCTTAATTATTTCTTTTAAGTAAAAAAAAGACAAATATATCATATTTTGCTTGCTAAAAGTTTTATTACTTCTTTCTTAAACCTTTTGAATTACTTAAATAATATTTTTTCTTTTTTTTACAATTGGTAACAGAATGTAATCCATTATGTTATACTACAAATACTGTAATAATTAAAGTAATTTTTTGTAAATTTTTTAGTTTTATTATTATTAACATAAATATTAGATTTAAATATCATGAGTTATGTTCTATTTTTTTTAAAGTTTTACTTTACAAATATAAATTAAAAGTAATACAAATAGTCTTTTTAGACAACTATTACTTTTTTAACTTTTTATAAATATATTTATTCCAAAAAGATAAAAAAACCTTTTACATTTTTATTTAAGTTCTAAATTGATATTACTAATAATTTTATATTCTAAATAATTATTTCTTAATCTGTAAGCTTTTCCAGGTAAATTTGCCTGAAAAATTGTTAAAAATATGCTTATAATCTACATTTTTTAAATTTTAAAATATTTAAATAAAATTTTATTTGATAATATTTGAAAATAAGAATTATATTATAGCAGTATTTAATTTTATATTATAAGAAAAAAATTATATATTACTTATAAGCTAAAAATAGACAAATTTAAAAAAAATTTTTAATTAAAAAAATTAATTTTAAGCCTATAGTTTTTAATACAATATTTTAGTTTATATAAAGAATGCCAATTTTTATTAATAATACTTTTACAATTTACTTATAAAAATTTAGACTTGTACAAAGTGTAAAAATTTTTTTTAGCTTTGGAAACATATGAAAATTTAAAAAATCTTGAAAAATTTTTAATAGTAAAAATTTTTAAATATAATCTTTAAAAGTTTAATACATAAAAGCTTATTAATATTTTGAAAAAGTTTTATAATAAAGTTTATAAAATATGTTTTTAAGAATATATTTCATAAGCAAAATATACTTTATATCATTAATAAATTATAAATACAATTTAATTTTCTAGACAAATTTGCCTAGAATATGATTTAAGAAATATTAAAGATTTTAATATATTATTTAAGATTATCTTACTAGTGTTATAAACTAACTTTTGCATAACAGATCTTGGCCTTTTGTATAAATTCTGACAGCTTTTGATCATTTTAAAAGCTTTATATATATCTGTAATTGATGTTATATAGTGTTATAAAACAAATTATTATTTTTTTTATAGTTAAAGTCCCTATCTTGAAGATGCAATATTTTTATTCAAGTATATTAAAACATGACATGCTATCAGAGACTCACTTTACATTAGAGATTACAACTAGCTATATGTATACTTTTGGTACCTAATTTAAGTAGTTCACTTATACATTGCTATATAAGTTCTACACTAGTTATCATACTTGTAAGCTAACTAGAAGTCTTGTTTATTTAAATCTTCTGCATATGCAATCCTTCTTGTATCATGAAAACATTTCAAGCTTACACCCATTTAAGTTCTTAATGCTTGTTGTTATTCTTAGAATTAATTTATTCTTGACAGAAAACTTACTAGAGCCTTTATGTTCTACACATATAAACCTAGTTTTATGCAATATGCTATAGTTATCTAACACTTGCAGTTACAGAGATTACCTGTTTAACCACTATATTATACTATTTTTACCTTTATAAAGTTTACTAAAACTCCAGTATCTATCTTCTCAGCATCTTTTCTATTATCTCCTATTAGCTGCAACTCAAAACTATCAGTCTTATTTCAGACTACCAATTCAGATGGCCCAGTATGATATACTTTTGTATCTGTTTCCTTTAGCAAATCCAGTAGCCTGGTTGGTTATATGCTTTTCTATACATATTTGATGTTTGGTTTTAATCTTCAGTTTCTATAAAATGTTTCATAGGCTTCAACCAGTCTGATGGTACTATTGAAAGTTCATACTACCTTTTTACTTAGGAATTTCCAAGTAGGTTTCTGTTATCTCAATTCCTTAGTTTTCTACATCTGATAGTCTTATCATGGGTTTGTACTGAAATCTTATGCAATACCAGTTATTTTTTTTTTTTTTTTGGTATTAAGGTGACCTCTTTGGTCTTTTGACTTTTATTAATCACTTGTCGGTATTGTGGT